CCAATCACGTCGTTGACACTAGAAGTGTTCAACCAATCAGGTCGTGGTCACTAGGAGCGTTCTACCAATCAAGTCGTTCACGCTAGGAGTGTTCAACCAACCAGGCCGTGATCACTAGGAGTGTTCAACCAATCACGCTGTTGTCACTAGGAGTGGTCCATCACCCAGACTGTTGTCACAAGGAGTGGCCGTCCATCAACCAGACTGTTGTCACTAGGAGTGCTCAACCAATCACGTCTTTGACACTAGGAGTGTTCAACCAATCACGTCGTTGACACTAGGAATGTTCAACCAATCAGGTCGTGATCACTACGAGTGCTCAACCAATCACGTCGTTGACACTAGTAGCGTTCAACCAATCAGGTCGTGGTCACTAGTAGCGTTCAACCAATCAGGTCGTTGACGCTAGAAGTGTTCAAACAGCCATGCCGTGATCACAGGAGTGTTCAACCAACCAGGCCGTGATCACAGGAGTGTTTAACCAATCACTAGGAGTGGCCGTCCATCAACCAGACTGTTGTCACTAGGAGTGGCCGTCCATCAACCAGACTGTTGTCACTAGGAGTGGCCGTCCATCAACCTGACTGTTGTCACTGGGAGTGCTCAACCAATCACGTCGTTGACACTAGAAGTGTTCAACCAATCAGGTCGTTATCACTACGAGTGCTCAACCAATCCGGTCGTGGTCACTACGAGTGCTCAACCAATCACATCGTTGACACTAGAAGTGTTTAACCAATCACGTCGTTGATACTAGGAGTGTTCAACCAATCAGGTCGTGGTCACTATGAGTGTTCAACCAGTCAGGTTGTGGTCACTAGGAGTGTTCAACCAATCAGGTTGTGGTCACTAGGAGTGATCAACCAATCAGGTCGTGGTCCCTCAGAGTGCTAAACCAATCACGTCGTTGACACTAGAAGTGTTCAACCAATCAGGTCGTGGTCACTAGGAGCGTTCAACCAATCAAGTCGTTCACGCTAGGAGTGTTCAACCAACCAGCCCGTGATCACTAGGAGTGTTCAACCAATCACGCTGTTGTCACTAGGAGTGGTCCATCAAACAGACTGTTGTCACAAGGAGTGGCCGTCCATCAACCAGACTGTTGTCACTAGGAGTGTTCAACCAATCACGTCTTTGACACTAGGAGTGTTGAACCAATCACGTCGTTGACACTAGGAGTGTTCAACCAATCAGGTCGTGATCACTACGAGTGCTCAACCAATCACGTTGTTGTCACTAGGAGTGGTCCATCACCCAGACTGTTGTCACAAGGAGTGGCCGTCCATCAACCAGACTGTTGTCACTAGGAGTGCTCAACCAATCACATCTTTGACACTAGGAGTGTTCAACCAATCACGTCGTTGACACTAGGAGTGTTCAACCAATCAGGTTGTGATCACTACGAGTGCTCAACCAATCACGTCGTTGACACTAGTAGCGTTCAACCAATCAGGTCGTGGTCACTAGGAGTGCTCAACCAATCAAAATATCGTTTTTAAGGGGAAGCATCCCCCTGTAAGGCCGTGCCTTAGGCGCAAGGCTGGTAAGCAGATCTCGCCCCTTCATGCAAAATTTCCTGTCGCCGCCTCGGTTTATGGTGGGTGTTATGAAAGTTTTATTATTTAGTCAGCGATCCGCGAAACAATGAGTCAGTGACATGCTGTAACACGTCTTGCCTGGGGTTATTCTAAACAAATATCCTGCTTTATTGTGGAAATATCTGTGTCTGTTTGAATTTTGAAATCATAAATCAACATTATGATTTGTTACATAGCGCCATTTTAGTAGCTTAGTAGTTTTTATTGTTATACTAATTTTCATGTATTTTTTCTTCCATTCTTAGTTACATGTACTCAATGTTTTATTCGTGATTCTGGTGTATTGAACTGTACTTCAGTTCTGCTTTGAACTAAACAATAACATTAGCTTATGTTTAATGTGTTATTTGTTATATGAGTTGTGTGAAGTATTATTTCTGTTTTTTTACAACCATAAAATTACTCTCTGTAGCAGATTTTCGTGTTGAATAAAATTATTATTATTATTATTATTATTATTATTATTATTATTATTATTATTATTATTATTATTATTATTATTATTATTATTATTATTATTATTATTATTATTATTATTATTATATCAATTTTTATATCAGCTATGCCCCTGAATCCATAGTAAATGACTGCCAAACAAATAACGAAACCGTGTTCTAACAACCTGGTATAATCGATATGCTATTTGGTTATACTCAATGACAAATCAAGTGTTCCATTTGGTAGTCATATTTATTTTATGTCCAAGTTTTTTGTGATTTGACGATGTAGTGATTTCGTACTTTCGGGCATAATTGTTTTTACACTCCGTATTTCAGATCTCATGGAAGTTTTAAGTTATACGCGGGCGGCAAGGGGATTTTTTCTTAAGTTGGAATCAATTGTTTTTTATTTTTGTAATAATGTAATTTCAATAAATAAAAAAAAACGTAAATTCGTAGATATGGGCAAGGTGTAAAATGTAATCAGATATTTTATTCGTTCGTAATTTGTACAAATACCTTCTTTTTTGTTAGCGTATATAAAGCATTTTTTACATTAAAAGTCGTAATTCGTACGCAATTTCCAGTTTTGTATCATTTTATTAATTGATTGATCAATAATGGTATTGGCATAATGAGTCACGAATCACATGTGCAGAATATTCGGAACTCGTTTGTTACCACGGATTTTACATATCATTGTGTAACTAATGACATTTATTATTTTTTTATAAACAAATAAACAAATCATCTCTTGTTGCTCATACAAATATTACTACATCAAACATAACGATGAAGTCAAGGTCAACTCTCATAGTTTGGAAGTTAAAAAAACATCGACACTGCGTGGTGTGGTGTTTTCCAGAGTGTTTATTTATATATGAACTTTCTACACGTCATTTGATTAGGTGCCCCTCATATTGTTGTGCGGACGCCCCTGTTTATGTTGAAAATTCACGTTAGAATGTTCCCCGCGCTTGCGCTCTAGAAAATTTCAAATACAAAATGGCTTCTGATGTT